TAAACAGTTTTGAAAGTGCACCCAGGAGAGTCATGGTCAATCTTTGAACAGGCTTACTCTCACTTCCTTCTGACCATTCACAACTTGCTAACAGTTATAATTCTCACAATCTTTACTCTATGGTGCATCTCTGCTAGCTATGGTGGTTCAACTGCGAAAACTTTGTATCTCTCACAATCTTCTTCAGTCGTTGGTAGTGGAAGTAACCATTCACGATTACCAACTGCCAAGATATTGCCACGTGCACTTCCAATGGCCTCTATTGTGGATAATGGCTCTGGTCCCGGTGACAGTGGAAAGAGAGTACCAGTTGATGATGTTGTTGACAAGGTTGTTGCAATGGGATTCCGTAGGGACTTGGTGAGGGCATCAATGAGGAAACTGAGAGCGAATGGGCAGTCAGTGGATCTCAACATGGTGCTGGATAAGCTAATGAATGGTGGGGAAGTGTAGCTTTAAATGGTATTTTTTGGCCAATGATATCTTACGTGGAAAGTAATGCTGTTTGATTTCTTCTGTATAGAATCTTAGATCAGGTAAACCTGTATCTGCAATAACTTTTCATGGGTCTTTACACTACTTTTGGGTTGCTATTTAATATTGTAGATGGCATCAACATGTAGTCATATAATGTAAATACTTGTGGATCTACTTAGTCATATTCCCTACTTCTTCCTTTGCTTGATGGACCCTCTCATTTGGCTTTTATTGTTATCCGAGGCTGTGACTTCATGATTTGTAGGGCAAGTTTGATAAACCACCTGTATGATTAACCCTTTTTTAGGCATTATTAACCCACTTTTATAGGCAAAGCTGATGATGACTGTCCATGTACCCTGTCTCTATCTAGTTGTGATCAATGCAATGAGTCAATAATTTACTTTCTTGAAACTCACCTTTATCAAGAATGCAGGTGAGAGGAGAACAAAGAAAGGAAAGGAAGTGGAGAGAAAGTGCAATTACAGGTGGAAATCATGCCTTAAAAAAGGTAAAGAAAACAAAACTTTGCCTGTGGACTAAGTTTTCCTTTTAAGGATTCATTGCACATATGATTTATGAGCTCACATCACTCAAATTATTGCTGAATTGACTTGGTAAACTGCTAGGGAACAGTAGGTCAATGATCTATACTGATATTTTTGGGCCCCCTTTTGTTATTCATCTGTCTCTTGCACTTTCCTTTGTTTTCTTTTTTTTTTTTTTTTTTTTTTTTTGTTGGCTGAAGCTGTATCTCTCCTACCTTGCTAGTTCTAATTGAGAGGAGAAATTATATTACATAACGGGTATATACTAAAATGCTCATATGATATAAAATCAAAATTAATTAACAAGATAGATATATCATTTTATAAATTGTGTTGGTCAATTTAGATTTTTTACTAATGGAAACTTAATATTACATAGATGTGTACCATTACAAAAACTAACTAATCATTTTTTTTTTTTTTTGGTCAGAATCCAAAACATTATCTATCAACAAATGGATTTCCTTTATAAATGTTGTGCTCTAAGAACCCGCATGATTAAATCTCAAGGAAAAAGAGAAGAACTCAAATGATTAACATGGGGAATAATCTCAATTAATGAACTATTTAAGGACTATGAACAAAAATAACTGGCATTTCTGCCTATGGGGGATAAAAAGATTAAAATTTTAAAAACCCAAACCTGACTTTTTTTTTAATG